GTCAACTTAACTCTAATTTATGACCATGACTGGAAATCTTTTTGCTTTCTTTGATTTTCAGAACATACTTAGAAGATGAATTGGCAAAGGCAAAGTCAAAACCCAGAAAAGTGAGTACCACTTAATAAGCCATTTACTCAACTTTTAAGTTTAGGGGAGATGGTAGTCATGTGTACATAGAGTGTAATGGACTCAGAATGAAAGGTGCAGGCTGTGACGCTAAGCTCTGGCAGGGTCTTTGCATTTTTTTCTTGGAAGCTTGAAAAATTTTGAGGAGGGGAACTCCTCAGATGGGTTACCCTGTGCTGGACAGGCCACCCATCTGGAGTGGGAGTCATAGTACTTCTTGTTGCCTCATGCTGCAGAAACTGCAGTAAGTGTGACAGGATGTCCTCTCTTGAGAACAATCAAATATAATTTTTACCTTGGTTGGAGGTAATGTTGCAATCTAATTGGCAAATTTGCCACTGTGGATAAGAGTACTTACAGACAGTGCTGCTTGGGTCAACATGTCATGATCTCAGTCATTGGATGTCGATATTGTCATTGGTTTAAATAAAAAATATTGACTGTGGTTTAGCATGGTCTGTACTCTAATCAGCAATGATAAAATTTGAAGTGGACCCACACTGCTGCGCCTCATGCAGACCATGCTAAACCACTGTCAATTTGTTACATTGATTAATTTAGAATTAATGAGAAATGTATTGCAGATATTGTTGAGAACTGAAGTTTACATCTTGGGAGTGAAAAAATGGATCCCCTTTTCTACATTTTCTAATTGTTAATAATGATGATTCTTTTTGTAGGATTTGTTTCAAAAGATGGTAGAAGTAGACCCCAGTGAACCCACTGAGGAGGAAAAGAGGGAAGGTGGAATAACCAAGCCACGTTACATGCAGTGGAGGGAGCAGCTGAGTTCAACTTCAAGCCTGGGTTTTAGGATTGAAGGAATTAAGGTTTAAGATACACTTTAAGCTTATAGTGATTGTTTTTAAGCTTCTCAGTTTTTGGAACAATTTCAAATAGTCACACAGTGTTGAAAGTAGCAGGATTGGACTGGTGTTATTTTAGTCTCCAATGTGATTGTGTGTTGCAAAGCAACACTCCTTTCTTGGGTGGGGGGGGGGATTTGTGAGACCTTTCTTACAGTTACTACCATTGTAGCATTAGTAGGCTTTTCCAATGATGGCTTGAAAATAATTACCTAATCACAATGTGTGAAAGCTTTACTATTCAGTCCAGAATTCAATTGACAAACTTTTAATTTAGTTGCTTGGAAATGTTTGCATTATTCTATCTAACACACATTATGTGATGAATGTATAGTATTGACTGACTGTTGCATGTTAAAGCTTTTGTATAACTTTGTGTTAATCTTGTATCTTTATATTCCCTTTCTTTGAAGAAAGGTGATGAGAAGCCCAACAAAGATTTTAAGAAAACAAGAACAAAAGAAGATGTTGATAAAGTTTTTACAGAGTTTATTGGTGATGATGAACAGATAAGAGTAAGTTTTTTGTAGTGGTATAAAAACTTCTTGCTGCCATGAAGTGAAATTGTGCACAGAATCCAAAAGAATGTGATGGGATAGAGAAGCATCAACTAAAATTGTTTTCGAATTTTACAAAGATCCCTGACCGGTTTTAGTGGAACAAATCACTCTAGATGCTGTCTATCCTTCCCCAATAGCCACCTCCCCCAATGGCCTCCCTCCCTCCCTCCCCTCCCCTGTTACTGTAGGTGCAGTTGTTCAAGGCTGGGTTAACCCTTTAACTCCTATGAGTGACCAAGACAGAATTTCTCCTTACAATATAAATACAGTATCAAGGAGATAAGTGATATGAATAAAGAAAAATATCAATTTGGGGATAATTAGTTGATCCAATACTAAATTCTCTAACCTAATATTATAAGAATTGTATGATTGACAGTAAGAAGAATTATAAATTTGATCTGGGAGTTAAAGGGTTAAGTTAATCCATGGTAGGGTGAAATCAGATTTTTGATCTTAAAGCTTTAAATTAAAGGAAATACAGACTGAGTATAAATTTATTTTGTTTGCAATTTGATAATTGAGTACTTTAAAAAGAATACAGAAAATTATCCCAATGGTGCTTTTGAACAAAGGAACAAAAAAACGTGGATTAACATTTAACTTTAGGTTAGCACTAATCTGCATTCAAACAACTGGGCCCTGATCTGTACAGTGTTTTGGAATTGACTTGCTCTGACAAAAATGTATTTACAGTTGAAGTCTGAGTTTTAAGTCTTCTTTCTTGTTTAGTTTTTATTAATTTCAATGAATTGATAATGAGGGAGTATTTTCCTGATATTCATTTATTGTTTATTATCCATTTAGAAAAAATATATAAGACGACTAAAAGCTATAAGAGCAACTTTAGAATCTTCACCATTCTTTCGCTCTCATGAGGTGAGTGAATTATGCCGTTCTTGCCTTACATGTGATTTGCTAAGTATAAACTATTCTTACTTGAAGATCCTTCTCCCTAAACTAAGCAACTTCAGCATTTGAAAATTGGTTTGCTTGCAAGGAAGCTTGCACAAAATTTAATCATGTTAATAGTCTTGTTAATTCTTAACTCACTACCTCACACAGATGGAATATGGATGTGGGGGGTATCTGGGGGCCTACACTTTGTCCAGGTAGCTCTTTGGTAGAATAACATGCCCATGTCATGGCTGGAAATTACTTGCAATGTAATACAGTCAGGATTGCCCACATCAGGCAGCTGTCAACTCATATTTAAAGCTCAGAAGAAAAAAGAAAGGCTGGCTGGAGTAAAAAGGATGGAATGGAGTGTGCCTGTGAAACAAACATTACAAAACCGTTCAAGACCCTTTGAAAACAACTTCTGCTAAACAACCTAAGAACTACAAAATCTAGCCATAATGAAGTTGCAACATTCCATATTAGCCTGTACTTATGAGATTTACCACAGTACTGTCTGGAAGATCCTGCCAATCCTTTGGCAGTTACTTTTGTTAGATCATCATTAAGATAAATTTGAAAATATTTTTCAGTTTTCACTCTGAAAATTTTCAAATTCCTTTCTGGTGTTTGAAGACATTCATTTTTTGTGATGTAATGTTATTACTAAACATATTTGTTGTGTCTGTTTACACTCCAGGTGGTTGGTAGTTCACTGTTATTCGTCCATGATGCAGATGGCCGGGCCAGCGTGTGGATGATTGATTTTGGTAAAACCACCCCACTTCAAGATGGAATGTGGTTGAATCACAGAACACCTTGGGAGGAGGGCAACCATGAAGATGGTTACCTATGGGGTTTGGACAACATGGTTGACATTTGGTCACAAAGATGATCTTTACTCTGAATTGTAGGAGCTTAGCTAAAAGTAATTATTGTTGACAATTCTCTTTTATAAAATTATATCTGTCAATGAATGCATGTGCTGTATGTAGGTTTTGTTTCAATGTAGACTGAGGAATGGAAGGAAGTGGTTACAAAAGTCGTAATGCTTACCAAGAAAGTCATAGAATGCATGCTTTGGTGTAAAAATGATATAAAATGATCATACTTATAGTATGTCGGAGGGGCCCTATACTTTTGGTAGTAAAGTTCAAACAATTAATATTTTTAAGTTCTTAAAGCAGAAAAGTAGTGAAAATCATGGAATTGTGAATGCTGTAAAGACTGCAAAACCTGTTGTCAAAGGTCATTACAACTAACATTTCATGTTGGTAGACTGGCTTATTGTTTAGGAGTGAGATCAAAGGAACAAAAAAAATTACTGTTCAGAGATGGCCTTAGAGAGAGGAAAAATATAGAAATAGACTGTAGAATTCTATGAACTTTTAGAACTCTTCCATCCCAATCCTTTTGTAAATCAGCCAATCCAGAAGGAAATGTTTACATACAATCTGTGAAAAAATTATTTGACACTTGACTGTGTTAACCTTCTCCAAGGAATTATTATGTTGCTGGTGAGTAGTCAACCTGTATGCTTTAGACAGTTTCTAGATAGTGTGCCTTGAAAACTGATTCTGTTGTCTTAGTAACCTGAAACACTGTCAGCCTGCCTTAGAGCAGTGTCACAGTTTGAAATGACTTGAGATTATTCTTTAGGTCGTAAAGCAAAATACCATAGGTTATAGCTATTTAACACAAGAATTGAAGGAGATAGCCAGGAAATTCGGGGATCTCTGAAGTCTAGTGAACATTAAACCACAGGTTGCCAGAATTCACATTTTCCTTTATTCAATGGTGTACATTCACAGAAAACAAAGCCCAACAATATATGTGGAAGAGGGGGTGGGGAAGTAAGGGTATTTCGTGTAGGAAGAAAATTGCTATGATAAACCGAATTTTGAAATCTCAGTAGCAATGTGTCAACTAGTTTTTCACAGATTGTAGATGATGGACTTTGAAATGATGGACTATGGAAAATACAGGGCTGGTGTGTTTTACCACAATACTAAAGCTGTGATTTAGCACGTTTTACCACTTTAATTCCATAGAAATAATTTACAATACAATATCAAGCAGACAAGTGATGAGAATATAGAAAAATGTCAACTAAGAGATTATCAATAACTGATCCAATGCCAAATTCTCCAAACTAACATCATAAGAATTGTATGTCAGACAGTAAGGAGAATTACTTAGGAGATCTTAGGTGTGAAAGGTTAAGGATGTTTACTTGTTTCCTGTTTTCCCCCAAAATCATCAACTGTGCATGCTCTGTTGTATGTTGGCTTGTTAGGCAAAAATTTGCAGTCATTAAAACGATGCTAAATGCTAGTCAATTTAGAAAATAATAAGTAAGAATAAATATATTCATTGTCATAGTTAGTTTGACAAGGGATTTCAGTTGTCCAGGGAAGATTGTTTAACATCATCAGTACTCAACCAGCTATAAGCTGTTTCCTTCACTGTTGATGGTTTCAAAGTGTTAGTTCCCAAGTGGAATTTCAGTCACTGTGAACCACAAACATTTGCTTCAGTAGACCTGATGCCAACGTTGATGCTTATTAAAACCACTGCAAAATTTTCATGCCACATAGTGAGTCAGAGACCTCTTACAATTGACTCATGGCCTCTTTACCCTGCCTCATCCCTACTTTTTGTTCAGGAAAGGGGCACTCTTAAATAGGCTAAAGAGATACTGCATTTGTAGAGATAACTCAGTCTGTCTCTCAAAATAGTCCAAAGTAATTCAATTTACAGTTTCATTTATTTACAAGATGTACATTGTCTATTTGAGAAGTGGTCAAACCAACTCTGTCAAGAATATATTTCTTAGTCTGTAACTCTGACCTCTTATTTAAAACGTTAGCATTTTGGTTTACTGTGACTGAGTGATCTAATACTCTGACTTGTAAATATCTATTGCTCATTAACTGTGCATGTGATAAATGAAGATATGTACATTGTATATTAACAGTTAATGTTGAAATTCAGGGCTGTTTTTTTTGTCCACTTTTTTGTTACACGGTGATTATGTTAAATTTCAGTCACTGTCATGATGTAACGACCATTAAATTTTTTTTGTACAAACTTGTTTCATTTTGCTGATGTAAGCCTCATTTGAAACTCAGCTGAGTGCACCACCAAGCTTAAATCTTTTTACTTAAACACATTCAAACTACTTGCTAGCAGCTATAATAAAATACTGCATTCTTTACCAGACACAAGGAAAAGAGCCAATGAAGGGTGCAGGACAATTTGTTTGACAATGGAATGGAACAGAACAATGAAAAATTAATATCTTGCGGCACTGCTGGGAAAAAAAAAGCAGGCATCCCTGCAATAGTTATTTGATGCAGCATTACATAAGGGTTGCTACATCCAAGGGGTGGTCACTTCCAGAACATTAGAGTAAATAAGATTACAGAACATAAAGAAATTATAGTCTTTGAGGAGAAATGCTTCTTTTTTCATCCTGTGGCAATACACTAAATGGAAAAAATTAGGTTCAGAAAAATTTTCATTGACCAAGGGATTGTCTTTCGAGAAAGTGACAAAGAGTGGGAATAAAAAAAATATATTATGAAACACCAATAAATAATTATGAAATAACTAGAAAAATACAACTTCCACAAGCTGGAGCAGTATCTGATAACAACTTCAAGACAACTACCTTTCATTACTGTTTTTAATGAGATGGAAACATGAAATACACAGTGAGCAAGCAAGTGTTTAAGAAAATCATAGGCTAACATATACTAGTATCAAAGGCAATGAGAACTTACAATAAATAACAATTACTTGTCTAGTTAAATTATACAATAAACACCATACTAGGAACAGACTTGGAGAATTTCTATCCATTATAAAACATTGCAAAGACTTGTAATTAAGATTTAAGAGTTTAGCAATCATTTTCACAAGGGTTCCTAACCTTATAATCCCCTATGAAACCAAAAAAACAGAAAAAATCCAGGAAAAAAAGTAGAATGACATGCAAAAGAAAACTACCATTAACAACAAATTTTAAAGTTAAAAAAAGTGTTTTAACATGATGCCAAGCATTAAACATAAAAAATCCATCTGCAAGAAGTCATTGACAATGGCTGACACTTTGATTGCAAAGTGTGATTACTTCCTCCACAAAATTTCAGTTACAATACTGTTTACATGAATGCTCCTAAATGAACTTCCTGTTCAATAATACTACTCCTGAAGAGATTTTTACATTGAATGATAAAAATGATCAACATTTCAATTCATATGGCCCAGACAAAAATTACACTATGGCTGCTGTAATGAAACCTTCACTTAACCCTTCAACTCCCAGGATCTGACTGTTAATTCTGCCCTCTAGCTGCTTCACATTTCCTTGTAAATAGGTTATGAGAATTTGGTGTTAGATCAAGAAAACAACTTCTACTTGATAAGTTTGAGTATTCTCATTACCTGTTTGCTGGATAGTACATGGATATTGTAGGGAGAAGATACTTGTTAATCACTTCTGGGAGTAAAAAGGTTAAGTAACACCAATCACTATCTTCTGAGAGGATTTTTCCACACAACCTCTTATTATACAATTTTCAAAAAAATCCCACTTCAGGAGTTCCTGAATCCACCTGCACAACTCTGGTTCAAAAAATGTATAATAGTTTGTATTTAAGAAATCCTGGCAAAATGTCAAATCAGAAGAAGTCTCGAGGGACAGCAATAAAACTGCATTTGTCACTAAATAACAGAATTACATACAACAGTTATTGTATGTAAGGAAAACCAATGCTATAAATCGTCGAGTTTCTCCGGCGCCTCGATCACTAGTCCCTCATCTTCGCTAGCAGATACTTCCATCATATCTGAGCTGCTACCAGTACATAACAGTGATCCACAGGTAGACACTGGTGAAGCTGTTAACAAAATATTTCCAAGATCATCATTTTTTGTTTTTTCAATAAATCACTTAGGAAACAGCAACAGAACAATTATTGTTTACATGACTTGGGTAATCCAGAATTGCATTCACTTGAGATTCTTTCATCCCCAGAAGGGTATATAATTTGTTGAATTGATAACCAAGATCCTGAATATAACAAAAGCTTACAACAACTAAATTACCATCTGGACTGACCTGTACTCATCATAGCACAAGCAGAAACTGTCCTTGATATACTAACAGAAAAAGTCCTCTGAGCTTGTCTTGCTCTGAAAAGAATGCATTTTACATAAGAAATTAAACATACCATCTTATTAGGGCGAGTCAATGTTGAGAAGCTCGTGAGTGATCACCCCACCCCTCTCCTTATTTTTGACCATTGCTCACCCCCTTGGTACAAATTTCTTTCTCTACCCAGCTTTCTACTTCCATTAAAATCAAAGATGACAGCCATAATTACCACAAAGAAAACACTACACACTTGCTCGCCAAAATTATGCCTGCTCTACAGGTGTAGTGTATTGATTATACATGTACCTATCTTAATTATTGACAACAACCTTAGTATGGGTTCTAAGGTGAGCACTTTGTACTTAATTCAGTAAATGTACTACTCGCAGTAATTCTACTGTATTGGAAATACCTGCATGCTGCAAAATTACTGTAAGTCAGTAAACTCTTATACTTGTATACGTGTAACGTGTTTATCAATAAAGTTCAGTTAGGCTTTGGCAATGAAGAAGGAATAGTCTCTCTATGTCTGAATGACGACACTACAGCAGGCTACTGTGTACCATGAGAGCTGTTTGATTAAATATCCCAGGGAATCTTACCAATGTTCGCCTAATACAGTATTGTTGACCCAAAATAAGAGGGGTATGGGTTCATAATGGGGCTAGGTTGACAACTTTTCGAGGAGCAAGGGAACTGGCACTAGACTTACAGGACAAGGTCTTTATTTGTAGTTCTTCTTCATCAGTCAACAAGTATGCTTGTACTAATTTTTACTCAAGTGTAATAATAGCACGCTTCACTGTTATGCAACTAATTGCTCCTGTGGATCGAAGCACTCTCTGTACACAACGGACAATGTTGGGTCATGCATGTATACATCCCATAGAATGGAAATGTTTTATCTCTGTTTCCTTGGGAAGGCAGGAGCAGAGATTGAAGATAGGGGCATTGTGCCGCGGAGAAGAGAACAGGAACAAGAGAAGTAAATTATATAATCTTGGCTGATTGGCTGTACAGTGTTTATAAAGCGATGCAAAAGAATTTCTGGAATATCTATTGACAACTTGTACTCACAAACTTATTCCTGCAGCTTGATGAAGAGCCCGAACTGTCTGTAGTTTTGGGCTTCCGGCTTAAAAATAAAATATCGCAAGGCTGATTAAACATGAGAAAGTTTCTAGTATGATGGATTGACACACGTGCAGTGCTCAATATTTTCTCCGATTTACTATCGGAACAAATACCTTGTGACGCAATCCGTCCACTCTGTGAGCTTGCAGCCTTAAAAAAGAAACGACCTTTCAGTATTTAAACGTCATACAAGGAATAATCATGGCGAATTTACCTGTAAAATTAAGCGAGAAGCGCTTCGTAAGGTTCGACCGGCTGACGACGCCATTTTGTTTTTGCTAGAGTACCAGTTTTTCACGGTCCAAACGCGAGAGACTGGCTCGAGTACACAAGCAGATAAGTTTTGAGCACCATCATTCAGTTAATCGTCATTTTCGATTAATTTGGCGAAAAATTCGATCGGTTTACCAATGATCGACATATCCGAGGATTTCGATTTAGCCTATGCCCTAAGCTTACAAGCAGAGCTCGATCAGGAACAGGAGAACGAAGCTTCAAGGCATAATTCATTGGTTTCGTCCAGTTCCCGTAAGAACGCTATTCCTAGACCAGTGTCAGTTGTAGATGAATCTTGGGAACTTATTGATCCTATACCGGACATACGGCAGTTATTTCTACAATTTAATGATGCTTACTTTAAAGGAATTTTGGGATCTGTAGAAGTAAAATGGAGTCCACGAATGACTTTGTAAGTAGGAGTTATTCCATCAGTGTATATTGTCAAATCATCTTGCTGATTGTTTTGGCGGTACATTTAACTCTGTGACTCCCTTGAGTGACCAAGAGAGAATTTCTCCTTACAATACCAATACAATATCAAGAAGGCTAATGACGAGAATAAAGAAAAATATCAATGAGAGGATTTTTAGTAGATCCAATCTAAAATTCTCCAAACTAACATCACTAGAATTGTATTGCAGACAATGGGGAAAATTACTAATGAGATTTTGTGGGGTGAATTGGTTAAGCTACAGCATAAGTAAATTTATGTTATATCCATTGATGGCTTTATTTATTCTGGGTACATTAAATAAGATTAAGACTTTTAAATTGACAAAGTATAAAACACTTAACTTGCTACTTGCATGACAGATGTGCTGGATTATGCTGCTATGAAGGCCGAGGAGGACTGTGTTCTATTAGGCTCAGTGCACCTTTACTCAAGCTGCGTCCAAGAAAAGACTTGGTTCAAACCTTACTGGTAAATTATTATTGCATTTATAGTTTGATATTATAGGCAGCATTCTAAAGACACTATCAATGTATTTACTTGCTTCACTTTATGTCAGCTGGATGGAGGATTGTTTTTACATTTCTAAGACTTCAGCATTCAATACGGTATACATAAATGTAAAATTATTCCTGTGCTAGTAAACATTTTGTGCAGCTTTTTTGTCAGGTTAAGGTTTCCCTCTGAATTTCTCCAATTTAAAACATATTTATATTTTTTTTTCTAGCATGAGATGATCCATGCTTTGTTGTTTGTGACACAGAACAACAAGGTTAGTAGCCTTTGGTAATAAATTATGCTTAAAAAACACCTCTTTTGCTCTTGGACAAACAGCCTTGTGTTTATTGGTTATTATGGGTCAAAGTAAAATTTAGTCACTTGTCTCATTAAAGGGAATTCTTGATAAATCACCTGATGATCAGAAACAGTGTCAAAGTGGAAAGATTGCAATTCACAGTTGATGGTGACCCTACACAATTTGATGAACAATTTACATTTCATTTATCAATATAGCCATTATGAAAAAATGTATAGAGAGCATATAATCCTCATTTGTTATCTGAGACAAATTAATCAGAATGTACTGTACCTTTCTGGGTACTCCACACTACTTGCATGTTTTAATCTGCATGTTTACTTTTGGCCATATCACACCCTCAATGAATTCTTCTATATTAAAGCAGATTTTGGGTCATTTTTTTAGGTATTTGTTCAGTTGATTCAACTTTTTAAGAACCTCCTCAATTCTATTGGAGATAGAGAGTGCTGGTTAGTTTTGTTATGTTATGTCTCACAGAAGAAAAAAAACTCGCTAAAGTCACTTTTATTGTCACTGCTCTCAGGACCATGATGGTCATGGACCAGAGTTCCTTAAACATATGCAAAGGATAAATGCAGAAAGTGGAGCAAACATTACTGTAAGTATTTTTTTCAATGATCCCCACCTTGCAGAGGTGGGAATGTTTCACCAATATATTACCAATATATCACTTTGCCTGGACCTGGGTGGAATGAATTAGGATCTTATCTTAATTATGTATTTCTAGTTTTCAAAAGAGAGCTGTCTCAGAGACATACACAACGAGCAAATGCCCAGTATATTCTTAACAAAAATTGTGGCCATCATCTTTGATTTTAATGGCATAAGGCTGGGGAGAGAAAAGTTTGTACTAAGGGGGGGGAGGGGGGGAGGGGGCAGTCAACAGTTAAAAATAAGGAGAGGGGTGGGGGTTGGGGAGTGAAGAGTACTCACCTCTTCTCACTCTTCCCCCACCCCCTACCCCCACCATCCACTCTAACTCCAAATCAAACATGGCCGGTCAGATAAACGATCATGAGCTTATAATGTTAGCTCACCATAATAAGACACCTGCACTGCAGGCTAACACAACACCCACAGATCTTGCACAAGTGAGTGTTACTGAGTACAGAAAAGTGTACAAAAGGATCAATATCCTCCAATCACAAGTCAGAAAAGGATCCTTTTGAACAACTTGAACTATGCATGTGTTTTCAAGAGGTTTACAACCTAACTCATGGCGATGAGATACTCATTTTCAATGATGAATGTAAACTTCATTGTTTGTTTGATAATTAATTGTCAATCAAACAATCAGCCACTAAACCCCTTTTTTTGCACTTTTTTGTTGTAGGTGTATCATAATTTTCATGATGAGGTAAGTATTCAGAAAAATCATGAATAGATGTTCTGTAATGAGCTCATTGAGCTGTTTTGATTTATAATTTGTAATCTTAGGACTAAGTGGAGTCCAATTCAGTTGGGAAACACACCTGAATCAGCACTGGGTGACTGTGAGCTCGAAGATTTTTAAATCATAAGAATGATAACAGGCAGAATTATCCTGTTCTACTACACTGTCTAGTTGCTAGAATGACATGAGCACTGTCTGAGAAGTGCTCAAATCAGGCTACTGATAACAAATAAATTTAAGAAACATGATAAGTTTTGATCTAGTACCGTAGTATGTTAAACCTGGGTGCAAACCATCAACAGGAATTAGAGAAGGACAAATCAGGAATGGTACGAGAAGGATGAAAAAAACCACAGTGATTAACCCTAAAGGTTACTATTGCTATGTAAATGATTTAAAGAGAACTGAGTATGAAATAATGGTCTCCTATTTTATTAGGTAAATGTATACCGTCAACACTGGTGGCAGTGTGATGGCCCTTGCCGCAGGAGACCACCTTATTATGGGATTGTAAGGAGAGCAATGAATCGAGCACCGTCACCCAGAGACACTTGGTGGGCAGACCATCAGCGAACGTGTGGTGGGACATACACCAAGATTAAAGAGCCAGATAATTATGGTGCAAAAAAATCTGGCAAGGCAAAACAAGGAAAAGGTGAAAAAGAAACAGGAGTTGCCAAGAACAAGGGGCATGTGCTTGGAGGAGGAAATTCTGGAACACTGCCAAGATTTTTTAAACGCAAAACAAGAGACAGTGATGATAGCAGTTGTAATTCTGAATATGACCAAGAAATGGTGAAACGGAAAAAGAAAAGCCTTGTAGATGATGGTGCTGTTGCTTTATCAGATCACAATGAAGACACGAAATCAAAGTTGAACCAGCCTGGTTCTTCACGGTGGACTACAGATGTGATACCATTTTCTGGGCCTGGCAGAACGTTAGGCTCAAGCTCTGACCAACATGACTCAAAAACATTTACCAAGGAATCTAAGAAGCCTGCTTTTATTGAGATAAAAACACCATCACCAAATAAAACTAAAACCAGCTCTTCACCAACTCTCACAATTGTAGATGCTTTTCAAAGAGCTAAAGATAAACACAAAAAGTGCAACAGCAGAGGTTATGACTTGACTAGTCCAGTATTGGGATCCCAACAGAAGCCAAGTGAGTTAATAGCAGATTCCTCCGGCTCATCGACAAGGGAAGTCAAACATTTACACAGTGATCATTTCAACTCAACTGATACAGTGCTGTGTCCTGTGTGCCAAACATTAATTTTAAATTGCAAGATCAATCAGCATCTTGATTCGTGCTTACAGTGATATGTTATAAAAGGCGGTTTTCAACGTATGTATGCTGCTGTATTTCACGTAAATTTTTAAGCGGAGAATGTTATGGATTAGTTGATCGATCCAAAGTATTCAATCCAGGCTTTTGACCAATGAGATGCAAAGCGAAAGCCAAACGCGCCTTGGTCATCTGCATTTTCCCGCGCCTCTGGCAGTTTGCCTTGTTTTCCTTTGAGTTTCGAACAATTTCATTTCTTATTCCTTGGCTTTATATTATGAGATGGAACTGAAAATACTCTAATACGCGTTATAAATAAAAGAGAAACAATATACTCAATAAAAGTGCTTTTAATAAACTTTGCTACACTCTACCTCGGTGTCTTACAAGTCTTGCGGGCCCGTTTCAGCTGGCACTAGCCTTCAATCAGTTTAAGGGGAAACAAGACCTTTGTGGTTGACTCTGGATCAAGATATTCAGTTCGTACCCCAGCCGGGTCATTGTGCAATGTTCTCCGACAGAACGTTATAACCATGAGGTGCTCCTCTTTATCCGGGTTCCAGTTGTATAAAGGTCGGATAACGCAATCCAATGGATAAATCGCTATCCAGCAGATAAGTGATAGCGAAACATACAGCGTTATCCACCGGATAGAGTTTTATCCAATGGATAGCGCTATCCAACCTTCGAACCGTGCCCGGGGCCATATGTTCAAATGGGTACTAACGAACTGTCAGGGAACGGTGAGGGAGTTGTTTGCGACCTATTGACATCCATGCAGAAGAAATGATTAAAACAGAATTCTTTTCATGCCACAGAGACTGGTTCAAAACACTGGCAGTTAAGGATGAGTTTAGTGGACAGCGAATATTGCAAGTGAATTTCGCCATTGATTGGTGTATGTACACTTAACGACTTTTCGTAAGGCCGACCGAGGTCATTTGGCCCTTAAACTTCGTTTTCAGTCTCTAATTTGAAAAGCGTGTGAAAATAGTTTGCCAAACATGGACTTTCCTGGTGGTAAGAGAATAACTTTCACCGCCGGCTCATTCCTGGCATATTAGAG